CACCTCTGTTCTCCCCCTTGGGCTGTTTTTAGCTGGTGGGGATTAATAATGCTCAGAAATCTAAAAGCAATTTTCCAGCAAAAGTCTGAAACAATTCAGAAGTCACTTTTGGCTGTATTTTACTGACATGATTGGCAGAGGTACTGTAAGAGAGTAGCCAGCATTACATGTGATTGGGTGAAAGTACAAATAGTTTTGAGGAAGCTGTTTTGGCTGTATGTGTGCAGGGGCACATTGTTGTTGTCCTATTTAAATAGAAAGGGTGTTTTGGTTCTACAAAATGGATTGCCAGAACTGCCTTATTCCTTAAGGAAATAATTTTAATTGGTAGCTTATTTCCTTTCTCTAAATACCCAAAGAAGTATTGTTATCTTTGCTTTTTTCCTGAAAAGTAGTCTGTTTTTAAAATATAAAATTGAATGTTTTCTTCTTTCAGTATTTTCATTTTACTCTATAAAGGTATCTTTAAGAAAGCACAATTCTCTGATTAATTTCATAGGCTATTAATCTAGAAATGTTTGTATTCAGAAGTAAAGACTTTCTGAAATCAGTAATTGGTGATAGATTTTCTTGGAACTAATTATTTGGAAAATAATATCAAATTTCAGTAATTTCACAGTTAATTTAAAAATAGACCTAGTCGGTGAGTTTGACAATATTTGAGCAAATTTTAATATATTTTGTTAAAAACAGATACCAGACCTTCTATTCACAGTGATAAAATTAAGCATCTGTAAAGTCTACCATCATATCCTTGAGAGTTTCAGAGTTTTTACGTTATATTGTCATCTCAGTTGAAGCTGGAAATGCAATTTCAATAAGTAGCATATTTAAAGGGACAACAGTTATCTATTTAAATGCAGTCTTGCTGTCTTCTATTGTATCTGGCATGACACTTGATAAGGAAGCTCTGAAGATGAGGATCCTTGGACGGATTGATTGATTGATTGATTGATTGATCAATCGATTGATTGGTTTTTCATTGATAATGTCACAAACCACGTTCCAGTACTGAGAGAAGGCAGCCAAAACAATCTGCTGAAATGTTATGGCCATCTGGTTGGCTGATCCATAATTATCTTCCTTTTCCTTTTCCTTTCCTTTTCCTTTCCTTTTCCTTTCCTTTTCCTTTCCTTTTCCTTTCCTTTTCCTTTCCTTTTCCTTTCCTTTTCCTTTCCTTTTCCTTCCTTCCCTCCCATACTATTATTGTGCAATAGCAGAACTCATTCCTGGGTATGCCAGCTGCTTTTTCTCTGGTTGAAGTGATTAGTTTTCTTCAATTACAGCCTTACACAGAGGGAGCTTGAGAGATGGCAGAACTTCTTGTTCAGTAATGTCTGTGGTTTGGATCAAATTGAATCCAGTATTTAAAAACAAAATATGTGTGCAGTTTGATTCAACAGCAACTCTTACTCCTAAACCTTGTTTGATAATATCCTCTGTCTCCTAGAGATTTACGTGACTTTTCAATTTCTCTTAAAGAAAAAATGTGGCAGGAAAATAATTAAATTAAATATTTAATTAAATAATTAAATTAAATTTAAAAGTCCCATGTTTACCTATGTGATTGTATTATCATAGAATCACGGTGTCTTCATTGAGAGGCAACATTATTGTTTCGTGTTTGTTTTGGTACTATTTTCATGTATATCTTTGGCCAGAATCATTGGAAGCCTTAATCTGTTAAGACACAGCAGTTACTGATGAAATGTGATGTTTGGACTGTATTTGGGATTATCCATATATGTAATGGATGTTAATTCTTTGAATTTGACAAATACTGAACACCAAGTATTTAAAGAAGGCTTAATCTTCAGTCATGCTGAGCTTTTACGAGTAGTGCATTTACTCAGCTTTCCTGAAAAACTCAGTTGTATTTGGAGTATGGGAATATATTCAAAGACAATATCCCTTGTGAAAGCTAAGAAATTAATCTCTACAATCAACAATAGGGTGGCAACTCAGCATCAAGCATTGCCTGAGGTTAAGAATAACTTACTTCCCCAAAAGAAAAGTGTTATGAGAGATTTTCTAGTAAATATTCCCTTTATACTCACAAAGGTTGCCAACAGTAATCCTCATAGCTAGTGCAAAGAATATCTGGAAAAATCCTTTGCTTTAATGCTGTACTGTTCCGTAGAAGAAAGGTGCTGTGTACTTCATATACAAACAGAATTTGGACAGAATTGCACATCTAGAGATCCAGTGGGGGATAATGCTCATATCCCCCAAATACCTGAAAAAGATAAAAAAAGAAAAGCTTTCTTGAAGCAGTAAAGAGTCCGTGCTCTGCTTTCTCTGCATGTCATTCCTTTCAGTAACATGCTTCTACGTCACTAATAGACACTGAAAAATTTGTTTCTCTTCATAATTGTATTTTTATATAATTTTAATAATCAGCAGAACTCTAAATCTATCTCATATAACTATTAAAATTATTTTCTTCATTGAGTAGTTTACATGAAAATTCAGTAAAATTTCTTAAACGTTTTTCCATCCTCTTACATAGTACCTACCTGTAGGGAATGGAATGTATTATGAAGCAGGTACAATCAGCCAAAGAATGTAAACAGGTCTGACAGAATGAAAACTTGAAGGTATCTAATGATACCAATAAAATCATATTTATTAAAGACTCCAAGAATTTCATTTCCATGGTAATGGAAATTAGGAATTATGAGAGCAGTGACTTGGAACAGAAGCTTGGGTCCTAAGCTGCTCACATCAACTTTAGTAGTTAGCTGCATGTGCCTTCTTGTTTCAGACTGTAAATTTACAGATGGGATTAAGAAAAATTAGGATGTGAGAGAGAAATATTTAATCGTATATTGATAAAACACATCTGCATGAAGGCTATGAAGAGGAATTCTGTCTTCCTTCTATCATTCAAGTAGAAGAGAGATTTTTTCCTTCCAGAATAGATAAATAATCTAAGATTATTTGACTTGAATTAAAATACTAAACGAGACTTTTTAAACACAGAATTTGGTAGACATAAGTAATTCCTCACACAACACCAAAATCTTGAGCTGAAGGCTATAATTTAAGTGTTTGATTTGCAATCTCTATGATGAATCTGCTTTAAGCATGGGTCAAGACACCATTTAAAACATTCTTATACAGCTACCAACTAGGCTCAGTGCTAGAGCCTTCTGGTGGTGGAGGTGGGGGCTTAGGTACTAGGAATTAACTGGGGTAGTTGATTAGCTATAACAAATTGAAATGCAAAGAGACTTTGCACAGTTTTGACTATAGTTTAAATATTGCATGTTTACCTGAAACAAACTGTTTTGGTAATTATTTATCATTTGTCTCTGGAGCCCTTTCCATGAGATTTTGTATGCTTTAAGTGTGACCATTATTTACTATGGAAATTTTTTCAGAATGATAAATTGGACTTGGAAAATATATATATTTGTTTTCAAAACCTTTTAATTTACAGTACCTCTGTTGTATGCATGACAGCAATAACTGCTTCTGTTGACCATTAAAGGAGGAAAGAATTTGGTAAGGTGGCTGGCTTTTGTCATCTTCCTGACAGTATAGTTTTAATTATGTTTACTTGTGTGACTAACCTAGAGCTAGTGAAGCAGTTAGAAGTTGCTTTAGAATTGTTACTGAGATTTACAGGACATATAAATTACATCTTGGCATGCAAAGTACAGCAGAAGACACATAAATTCTCAAGAGGAAATAACCTGATTATACCTGCAACAACTTAAGTAAGATGCATCAGTAATGATGTTAATGTAGAGTCAAATCCAGCTGAAATGGGATTTATGGTCAAAATGTTTATCTAGGACATGAATGATGTCATTAGAATATAAGTCCTTGCCAGGTGTGTGTCCAGCTCAGGATCATGTCAGTAGGAATGGGTTGTGTGTGATCTGGGGTTGTGGGGAGGGGATGTCAGGTCCATGTACTGCCATGTGGGTGACAGGGTACAGGAGGTACAGCAGGAGAGAAACCTCTCCACCACCAGGGTGATTCCAAATTCCAAGTCATCCTCTTCAATTTTCTATGGTACTGTTTATTTTCTGAGTTGATTTTAATTTTCAAACTCTATTATCAAGGCTTTGGGGGATTTTTACTTTGTCTTAGAAGGGGAGGAAGCAAGGAAGGAACTAAGAAATACTAGCACATACTGCTTTTGTAGTATTGCTTGTAGCTATTCATCAGAAAGCTGGCAATGCTGTTGATTTAAATATTTTGTGGTTGTAACAGCTTGATTTGAGTAAAGGAAGACTGGGAATCTGAGATGAGTTTCATTTCTTGCCTCAGACCACACTTTTTTTTTTCTTTTATTCTGTCTTATATAGGAAGGTAGAGACCTTCACAGTAATTTACCTTAACTAAAATTTGCTGTGATGGGAGCATGAGAGTAACTAGTGTATTTTTTAAAACAATGAGAATTAGGAAGATTTCTTCCAAAAATATGTATATATTTGTCTGTCTTGGTGGGGCAAATCTGCAGTAAACCCAACTTTTGGAGATTTAAAATAAAATAGCATTGTAAGCATATAGCTGTTAGGAATACTACAGATGCTCTTAAATGTTCATAAATAGGATATTCTGGTGAATTATGTTCATAAATGTTAAAAAAATATGATTTTTTTAGGTTGTTATCTGTGAATAGTTCTCATGGCTCCATTAGAGTGTGGCCATTGTTACAGGAACTGTCTATCTTGCCTCAAAAGACATCAAACATTTTGCCATGGATTTCACTGATGTGGTTATTACATAACCTGTATGATTGGTACTTGGGATAGTGAACATTATAATCATAATATAAGATGATTGCATGAGGTAACTGCCTTGCCAACTGCTAGTGGTTAGGACCAGAGCTGTCTCTGCAACACATTTACAATTTTTACCCTTTTTCCTTCCTGAGTTTCTTTGAGGAGCAACAGAACTCAGTATTTCAAGGTTGAGTTTTAAATAAAAACTAAGGTGCATCTTCCATTATAATCTGCTTTTTCTGTGTTTTTGCCCTTTTTCAGGAGGATACAGATCATAACTATTACACATCAAGGACATATGGCCCATATGATTCTACCAGCAGGGATCTGTGGGTCAATATAGACCAAATGGAGAAGGACAAAGTAAAGATTCATGGGATCCTTTCCAACACCCATCGACAAGCAGCAGTAAGTTATTTTATCACTTTCTTCTTTGATTAGCATGAATATTCTCCCCCAGTGACCCACACAGCAGTATTACTAAGTACCATGACTATTGTTCACAAAGCAATATCTTTGGATTCTAGTTAAGCTGTGGAAGTCTTTACACTGTTATTATCAAATGATTCTTTGAACTTTTTGAACGTTCTGTAACAGTCCTTCAGAGATGCCTTTACAAATATATTTAAAATTTTCCTCTGTTCCTAAGAATATCAAACTATCAAATGTTAAACCACTTTTGTGGCTGAAATCAGAGGGAATTTTACTGTTGAGTTTAATGGTAAAATATTTGGGTTCAGGATGAAGTTGAAGTTTTAAGTCTCTCATGGAATGTATGTGGTATGTTTGCACTTCTATTTTATATGAGGTGTCATGCTTCTATTTCCTTTTGGGACAACTGATAAAGCTCATGAGAATGTCATATAGTAACAGAAATTATGTGATCACTATTTTAGGTTATCAGCAAATAAATACATTGGAGTGTGAATATCAGTCATATTTAACTTATTGTAGTCATGCTGCTGGTAAAGGGGGTATGAAAATAAAGGACTTACACACTCAAAAATGGAATAAAATACTGTATGATTTAGAGATTATATTCTTGGGGTTCTCACCTGTGGCTAGATGCTGCATACATAGAAGAGGTAATATTAGCATAAATTAAGTACAGAAAATTAAAGCTCAGAACTGTGGTTAAAGAGACTCTTCTTTCATCCATTCAGCAACTTAGCTTCATAAAAAAGTGCTTGGGTTTTGCCAGTTTAAAACAAAATCTAGTGAATGCCTTACTTAAAAGTTGTACAGTTTTAAAGATGCAGGCGTGTTTAACAATTTTAAAGCTGAGAGAAAGCCCAAGTTTAATTTATCTTTTCCTTTGTTAATCTGTTTTTTCCCTGGCACAAGCCAGGTGACTGCTCAGAGGAATGCAAGAGGCAGAAGAAAGAAATACTGTGGTATTTAAGTCAGAATACAGAAAGAAGAGTGAGGTGATAAATCCAGCACATGTAACTGACAGAGAGTCCAATTCAAAAAATACATACTTCATAGCTAAAAGACTGTAGGCAGTCAGGGATAATAAAAATGCAGAGAGCTCAGACAGTTATATATCTTTGGGATAGACTTAATAAAACAATGTATCAGCTATTTTCTTAAGACAATTTGATTCTGATGAGAAAAAAAGAACCTCAAGGGTACGTAAAAGTGAAGACTTCTGTTATCTGTCTTGTCTACTTCATGTGGGATCCTGGTGCTCTGTATTAAGGGAAAAAATGGAAATATGCTGAAAGAAAAGGTAATAAATAAATTAAAAATTTTAATCCATGTTTAATGATTAGTAAAGATGACACCCTTCCATGTCTTTGTTGTAAGCACTTTGTTTCCAATTGATCCCTGAGATTATTCAGCTAAAATGTCCATCCCAAAGGAAACATTTTGTTGAAGTTATTAAACTAGAGGTTAGAACAAGGCAGTATTTTTGGTCTGGTGTGGGATCAGTGTAGAGGACCATTCAGCATGGCAAATGGAACCTTGAGGGCTTCAGCTGTTTCTTCCCAAAGCAAGTGGTTTAGACCTTTTTTCTGAATGTCTGCCAGTCTTTCTGCCTTTCTGCCAGCTCCAACAGAAAAGGCTCTGGTCCCTGTTTAGTACACTGATATCCATCTCTTTCCATGCTTACCTAAATATCTTGGACTTGAGTGGCTTCAGCCATGTCTACATTGAGTTTTAAAGACCCATTTTTCAGATCTGTTTTATGTCCTCCAAAGGATGAAAAAGTACCAAAGAGTGATCCTGTAGGTTTTATTCCTTATTTATGTAGATGCATAAATTGATTTTTTGGTATGTGTGTGTGTGTCCAGTAAACATCCATATGTACTACACAACAAAGGTGTTTTACACAGAGATGTGATCTTTATTCATAACTGTACAACTGCAGAGTCGTGCATTTTGAGATCATACATACCTCAGCAGCAATCTCTTACCTTCTCTCCCATAAACTTTGCCATTACTCTTTTTAAAAGGCCATTTTGCACATCTTACTGTGACTCAATGATATACATGATATTTTCTAAACACTATTCTCCAATTTGACAATAGAACCAGGAGTTAAATTATTACATGCTAAATATTAAGAAATTCATTTACGATGTCAGGTATTCTTTGAACGTTAACAATTTCACACTCAATTTGTGTGCTTTCCTTCATTTGGAAGTAAATAATCCTGAGAGTTCCCAGAAGCTGTCAGTTGGTTTTGCTTCTACAAGAAAAGTCACAAAGACTGCAGAGAATCCTGGAGAGGATCCATGAGATGGTTTGACTTTATAAACAGCATAGTAATTGTTTGTGGAAAGTAGCAAACTTATATTAATGGAACAATTAAAATGTCTAACATTACAGGATTTATAACACTAATAATAAGGGTGTTTTTCAATATATTGCCACCATCTTCTTAACCATTTAATAAAATGTTAGAGATGGCTTTGATATTCAGTGTGTTTAGATTAGATATCTAAGAATTGATTACCTACACACTGAACTAGAATACAGGATACATCATACTTGGGAACTCAACTCCCTTTTCTTCCAGTCCATTTGATCATTTTATATTTATCATTTATTCCATCATGGAGAAAGCATTTTTATTTCAGTGAATTGGAAATTCTGATATTCTTTTTTAAAAATTAGATATGCTTTCTAGCATCAAAATAAAAGCAAAATTTTAATGACTGTTAGAATTTTGAGTTTCAAAATAATACTTAAATCATGTTGGTTCTTACAGTATTATGTAAAAAATTGGCTATGTTAAACATTTTTACATTGTCAGAATTTAAGGTATCACATTTTGAGTTAAGTCAGTGGGAGATCTATATCTGACTTGAGTAAGAATGGGATCAAATTTTAATTGCAAACATCTTTATATTAATGTTTATATTATAGAATTCAGAAGACAGATAAGGGGGCACAGTTTTCATTTGAAGTAGCTTAATGGTTACTATGATTCAGAAAGTTAAAGAGCAGAGGTAAAATGGAGGATGGTGTATAAAGGAAAGAGGGAAGGTTTGGTCAGAGAATTGGTAGTTTTAAGGAGTTCTTCATATTATGTTTGGTAGAGCAAGGACATAATTTAAATGGAGTGCATTCATAGATGTAGCATGCACTTCAGCAGTGAAAGCTGTAGAATATGGTAAAAGAACATTTGTGTGAGTTAATTCATGTGCTCCCTTTTGCATATGCCATTTTAGTTGTACATCCATATTTATGTATATACAGAAAAGGTCATTAGAACCTACTCAGTCCAATTAACACATTGCAAATGGATTTTGCATTCTAATTAAAAATAAACAAAAAATGTGCTAATAAATCCTGTCATAATTCTATCTTCCACTTAAATGGAAAGCAAATCTAATTTAAAGTTACTGTAAGTCTTCAACTGCTAATTTCATGCTAAATAATTATTTTAAACATTTCTGGTTGATGTAAATATAATTCTTCCTGAGAGAAGAAGTACTCAGATACAATCTGGAAACAATAAATACAGGATAGAAATAATGGCAGGGAAAATAAAGACAAAAGAGTACTTTTCTTCTTCCTTCCCCCACCTTTTTAAAAATGGGCTGTTACACTTTTCTTAAGTGGAATCATCAAAAGTTGGGCTTCAGGGACAGTCATCAACAACCCTTCTTCACACCAGTTTTTACTGTAGTAAATTCTCCAAAAGAAGGAATAATGGACTGCATGCTTATTTCATATTTAACATTTAGACCATTGTGGAAGAGATGCATTTTTCACAGGATATTATATTTAAACAGTGAAAAGACCTGGCTGAGATTTCAGCACTCCATTCCGCCACCACCACTAATTTATTCAGAGTTTAACCAGGTAGCATACAAGGTGATAATTATTAGTGGCCACAATAATCATTGAGCTTTGGGAAAATAATGGAATAGATGAAAAATATAAAGCCATAGGCAGAGAAGCAAAATAAGTTTGAATTTGAATGTTACTTTATGGTGAGCTTAGTTGAGGAGAAGAGCTCATTTCCTAAATTACAATTCTCTGCTATGAATTCAGCTGATAGAGGACAGTCACCTGTAGGTAGACGCGGAAGAAAAAAGGGTTTGTTTTAAAATTTTGTTTATTTATTTTATTTTGCAATAAGTAGCTTAAGTAGAGTTTGTCATTGCATCTGTTGAATATTTCTTTATGCATTATTCCATCTCCTAGCTGACAGTATAGAGAGAGTTTTAAGAAATGGTGTGATATGGGTTAGATGGAGGAGTTACCTTCCAGTGACCAGCCTTCATCAGACAAGCACCCAGGCAGCAGCAGGATGTCAGGGACAGCTCTTGAATCTGAAGGCTCATGTGGCAGAGCAGCAGAAAGCCAGCAGCCATAATAGCAGGCATCCTGTAACACATAGGTATTGCTAAGGCTTTACATATTGATGGGTCCTTTTAAGAAAGAGGTTAAAGCGACAGTTTTCCGAAGAGAAACCCTACAAATCTTTTATTAATTTTATTCTTGTGATTGCGTTAAAATGTCTGTTCATGTATTTTTTTAATGAAGTTTTCTGTTATAAATATCCACTGCTTTAAGTGTTTAAATATTCCTCAGAATTCTTTCTAGTTAGCTACTGGCAATTCCAAATTAAGAATAACAAGGCTCCAGTAAAAAAAAAAATGCAATGAAAGAGATATTTGAAGTGGATGACTGTTCATCTTTTTTTCTCTTAATATTCTGCTCAATATTGATTTTATTTTCTGCTGTTATTCTTTTCAGAGAGTGAATTTGTCCTTTGATTTTCCATTTTATGGACATTTTCTACGTGAAATTACTGTGGCAACTGGGGGTGAGTGGCTTTCTAACCATTTACTTTGAGTAAGATGAGAAGTGTTTCTTGCAGCTATTTAAAATACCTTTTTTCCCCTGCTTATGTATGTCAAGAGATAAACTGCAGCTTTTATTTAGGAAATTTTCCTGTCCACGAAAAGAAAATCACAAAATATCAATATGATGAGAAACCTCAAGCAGTTTAAGTTGAACTGTTTCAATCCTATCACATTGTAAGACTATACAGCACTAATCCTTTTCTGTATAGATATTGTTGGCCAGAACTGAGGGGTGTGTGTGTTTAGCAGTTGCACTGGAGGTGAGAGTGCTGGAGCCAGAACAAGGAGGGAGACAGGGTTTGCCTGCACAAGGGGAGAGGATTTCCTGCCCAAAGATGAGAAGTGCTGCCAGAAGCACAGCATGTGTCACCTGTAAGGCAAACCCATCACACTGCATTGTCTCGGTGTGGTACAGCTTCTGAAAATGGCCTTCCTCTCCTCTTTCCACGAGAGGAGTGGGGTGAGCAGGGAGGTGGGACCAGCTCGAGCTCCCAGTCTGGCAGCTCTGGGCACCACTGGTGGCTCATGGTCAGGGCTCTCCCTGCCACTGCTGCTGGCACCTCTCTCCTCACTGGGAACAGCCATCTGCTCCTTCTGCTCCCCTCCCACTCCACCTCCTTGAAACACAACCGGATTCTAATGAGAAGGGGAAAAGGAGATGACAATAAATGAGAAAATGAAGAAGGAGTAATAGTAAAAAGATGAAAACAGGGAGACAAAAGGCAGGCATCATGGAGAGCACACCCAGAGGATCCTCTGGTCCTTGAACATGTCCAGCAAGTTCATGGACCCTGGCTGGTGGTGTTCAGCCTAGAGATGTGACAGGTCAGGCAGGCAGAAATAGGAGCTGCCATCATCAAGAACAATTCTACCCTGTCCCTGATCAAAGTTTCTCCTTCTCTTGCTGTGAGGGTCCAGGTGGACACGATCAGGGGATATCCATGTCCCTGAATGGGGACGTTAAAGATTAGGGCAGAATTGCAGCCAGTGTCTCAGCAAGAGTGGGAGCTGGAACAGAGATTCCTGTCATGTTTCCCATCAGGATCTCCATTTTGCTCCCAAAGCAGAATACAAGTGATGGATAAAGGTGAATAAAGGCTGATATTAAAGGCTGATTTGCAGTAGAACGATAAAAAAGGATGCAGAATTATGAAGTTAATTCAGTATCAGTTTTCTCTTTCTCATCAGCAGTGACATTTTGATGCTGATTTTGATCAGATGAGCTAAGCACTACTGAATTTGAGATTTGCCTGATTTCCATTCTACTTTGCTGGTAGTTTCATTTTGGTTCTTGATCATCAATGTTCTGTATTTTTCATGGGAGGAGTTGCATTTGACGGGCTGCCAAAATCAAGCATGTGATCTATGTAGCACGAAAGAATGGGATGGATCCTGCAGAGCTAGAACAGCAGTGGGGGGACAGGGTTCATCCTCTAAATGTCCCCTTATTCTTACTGCTCTGCTTGGTTCCTTAAAATTTCACAAAGTTCACTCTTTCCAAGTAATTCTTTTTGTGTCATCATTCTGCTGAGCCTTCCCATTTAATGGAAGTCCTGAATTTTACTACTTTTAGCACTTCCACTAATTTGCAGCTCTGACCAGTTTCTCCATCAGACCCAAAAGACTTGGAAGAAAAATTAATCTCATGAGGTGAACTGTGTAGTTACAATTTTTGAGGTACAATGATTTTTCCTTTTGATACATTGTGACTGGGGAATTTAAGTGGTTTTGTCTTCTGTTTTCTTTAGGGAAAAAAAAAGTCAGAATATAAAAATTACTGTGGCTCTGCAGGTTTCTTTTCTCTTGGCTGGTAATTATGCTTTTCTTTTTGCTCCATTTCAACTAAACAAAATATTATTGCTGTAAATAGATCTATTGATTATTGTCAAGATAAATAGGGTCCTTTTTATGTACACCATTGACATTAGCACAGAGATATTTCTGTCTTTCTTGCACCTCAAAATTAAGCATGAAGAAGATCTAGCTAATAATAGATTTTAAAATGTTATCTTGATAAAGCTCAGTAAGTCATTCTGTCAGTCCAGGATAAGATGCCAGCTTTACTACAACTATAAGATTTCTAAACTCATCTACCAGGAAAAGAAAGGTTTATTTCTGTACTAACTCTCTAAAAATGTTTTGATTCAGATATATTTGCAAATTTTGTTGCTAGGCTAAGCATCACATTTCACCACCAATGATTTATAATAACAAAAGATGAATACAAGTTCCACGTGCTTCATATACTCTATGGTCTGCTATTTCTTAGTAATCAAGCTTTTACAATGGCATTGCTATTATTAGAGACCTGGAACACTTCCAGAGGTTATTCTGACATCAAAAGAATGACAAAGTCCCACATGACAGATGTCCACTTCCTGGAGAGCAGGATATTATTAATTATGTTAGTGACAATACTACAAACTGGTTTTTACATCCAAATCATAAATTAAATAACCTCCTTAAAAGAGAAGTTGAGGACAATGGCACATTAAATCTCTGTCACAATAAAAACATCTTCCCCAATGGTTTCTGCCATTCTTCATGGAGTGTGCACTGTGGCATAATAGGGTTCTCAAATTGCTTAGAATGATTTTCACTCAGTGTGGTTTAAAACTCAACTTTTTTTTCTCTTTAGCTAATATTTATTTCCTCTTCTGAATAGTTTTGATGAGCTGATTGTGTTTAACTAAGAAAATGAAGAATGGAGAATGAAAATAGTTTGAGGGCTTTATTCAATGTTGTCTCAGTTTGTATTTGAAAGGCTATATATTATTATAGGAATTATATATTATAATTGAAATATTATTAACATAATTAGTAGTTGGTTCTTTGCTATACAGACATTTCTCTGCCTACTATCCTATAGATAGTTCTCAAACAAGAAGCTGAATTTTGTTTTTTGTGAAGCTTTCTAAAGTCTGTGGCCTAGAGGCCAAAAATGCAGTTATTTTTGTAGAAAAACACTTGTGAGACAGCAAGTCATGTTGTGCATGCCAGGAGCTGAGTATGTGAAGTCTGTTTGTTGCCAGTCTCTGACTCCCCTCTCAGAGCTCAGTGGAGCTGGGAAAACGCTCTCTTGTGCTGCATCTCTCCATGCAGTACCATAACCCTCCTCACAGGAGTCCTTGAAGCTCTGTGGCCCCACATCCTACCCAACATGCTGCAAACTTCATTGCTGGCTGTGTTAATTTTCTACCTTCGTGGTACTAAGCCCCTCTAGTTTATTCTCTCTGGGTTGTTTTATTTTTGGTTTTTTGTTTTGTTTGTTTTTTGTTTTTTGGAGGGGTTTTTTTGTTGGTTTGTTTTGTTTATCAGTCTCTAATTTTTAGTGCAATTTTATGTCAGATGTTAGAACTTGTTTAGGGTATTTTTTTTTTTGCAATGGCATTTTTCGTTGACATTAAATTTCTCTGTGGTTTTGCAGGGAGCAGGAAAGGCCTTGCTGTGCAAGCACTGCCCAGCATTAATGAAACATAACAATAACAGTAGAAATTGAAGTGAGTAGTTGGTTACATTTTTAGATTTATAATGCTGAATATTGAGACGTTTTATCAGCTAGCATGAAGAAGACTCCAGAAACATCCACCTACCCTGTGTAATAGCAAATTGCTGAAGTTGAAGCAAGCAGCTGAATTTTTAAATATTGTATTAAATTCTGGTGAGATAATATTTGGTGAATCATCTTTCACTAGAGGAGTATTCCAGATGGAGGAATTGTTCTAAATAATTCTTATGGTGAGGATGCTGCCTGAGCATTTCTACCACTGTCAATTAAAGGAGTACCAAACAAAGAAATAAAAAGCCATCCTAGCAGTAAATCCCAGTGTAATCAAATTAAAGTGGATAATTTTCTAAAACAGAATTCAAGAACTCTTTGTATGATTATTACTTCCTAAGGTCAGATCTCATGCTTAAAAATACTTCTGTTTATGGAAGAAAGACTTTTGTGCATCCAAGATTTACACAGCTTTTCATCAAAACTACAACTGTCCTAGGCTCTATTGACACAAGATAAGAACACAAGCATTGAAAATACTGAACTAATTTTTCTGCTGAAACCTGGTGTTATTGGATGTTGTGTTGAGGAGCAGCTGTGAGGTACCTGAGCATGGTTCCTAAACCCTGACTAGTCAGGACAACTGATTCAAAGTAATCTTTCATTCTCGTGAGGAATCATACTTATTTCAGTGTCAAATTCTTTTTAATTGTACATATGGTTTGTGGGAAAGTACCAGAGGCAAAATATCTCTGGTTAGCAAGCTAGCTGGTTAGCTGCTTAAAATCTGAAGTTTTATACAGAGATAACACTTTAAATTTCTTTTTGGACATTGAATGTGTATATATCATTATGGAATTTTGTTCAATTTTACTGTTTTCAGTGTAGCAGGAGGGATATGAAAAATAAGTACCAAAGTGTGGAGAATTCTGATACAATTTCCATCACATTTTGCAGTACTTTCAAGGAAAGGGGTCAGTGATAGAGTAGGCTGTGGGGAAGGAAAAAAGCCTGATGTTGCACTGTCTCAGGCCTATCTTTCTGTGTTGGCACACACAGCAATACCTCTGAGCAGGAGGGAAATCTGTCCACCTGGCTGGTGCTGCTATGGAAAGAGAAGGGACCACGGGGTCAGCACCTGAGCTTGTTAAGGGTGAGGATGGTTGTGCATTTGCAGCCTGCAGAAAGTCTATGCTAATGAATTCTTTTCCCTGCATCTCATGCATTTATTTTCTTAAACTTCCAAACCAGTGGATAGGTAGAGTGAAATTTACCTGCTCTTTGAATTATCAGTGTCCTGAGTGGAGCGTTTTGCTGGTGTCTGTCAGAAGTTTTCTGGCTGTTCCTGCTCTTCTGAGCCTTTTGGCACAGGTGCCAGCAGGAGATGTGTTCATCACTTAATGAAGAGCTCTTTGACAACGCAAATTGCCCTATGGGCAACATCTGTTAAATGGCAGAGGTGATACAAAGCAGAGTGAAATATAATGTTTCCAGCCAAAATCAGTGCCTCAGATGAGCTTGTGTCTGTTACAGGGGATTACGCTTGTCATCAGCGCTGGGCAGCTCACTCTGAAGGGACCGTGGAGGTCTGGCTGTTGACTAACTCATACAATTGCTTCATTTACCTCCTCTTTTTCTGATGTTTT